ATTTGAGTCTTTTTAAATTTAACAAGACTTGATTTGTGGTCTAACATTACTCCCTGGAAAATGATCCTTGTGCCCTTGAGAAGAAAATATGTATTCTGCTATTGGGTAGAGTATTCTGTAGATGCTGTTAGGTCTACTTGATTTATACTTTTTCTCAGGTCTTCTATTTCCTTGTTAAATTTCTTCTATCTAGTTGTTCCACACATCATTAAATGTGGGATTAATGTCTCCAACTTGTATTGTTACACTGTCTCCCTTCAATTCTGTTAATATTTTGTTTCACATATTTTGAGACTCTGTTGTTAGATATATGAACAGTCTTTAATTAAATGATTTCCTATCAAGAAAGTTATCTCTGTCTTTCCAGTTAGTGACATAAACAATGCAATGCAGTATAATCTGAATTTATTATAGTAAGTATATTTGTATGTTCTGGTTAATTTTTGTTGAACATCATTTTAAAATGTCTACTCTCCCACATATAATATACATGACAAAATCTATTTTCTCTAAAAATTTAGTTTTTTTATGTGCTACAGAAAGATATTAGTTGTATTGGCTACTACCATAAAAAGATATCATATAAGAAGGTGGCAAGTGACAATTGTATAGTATAACTTATAAAGGGCTTACATGTGTATTTTTCCCAGTTAATCATCCGGCTACTGATGGAGCACAGAGGCTGTATTACATTCACTCAGCAATGCCACGTTGGTAGCCCGAAATTGGCCATGGTAGTGATATTTATCTCATAGAAATTAGAAAATACTACGAAACTGGTAATTCTGTCCCCTTGAGAGCCAGTTTTTAAACATTTGCCAGCCTACCACTGCTTTATCTCCATTTTTCAGATTAAACACAGAAAGAAAGCTTGAGCTTTAAAGAGTAGAAATGTCTCCCCCCAAATTATTCAGCTACTTAAAGTGGTAAAGTTAGATCATCAAACACAATCCTTCTACTTGAAAATACTTTTTCTTTCAAGGTATTTCTGTGCCCCCACCCCCCCACCATAAGTTTTCCTTCCCTGCCTCAATGTATTGATCCAAAATCATCATGAGCATTTATTTAATAGAATTTGCAGCTCTTGTTAACATTAGACTGTCAGGGAAAAAATATATTCACGTACTAACGTTTTAGTGATTACTATTTTATTCTGCCAAGAAATTGAATTTTTTCTTGGAAGCTTTTTCTTTTGTTCTTTTAAAAATGGTATTGGACAGTCATTAAATATAATAAAAAACTCTTCTGACAGAGGCTAAGATCTTTAGGTAAAAAGATCAAGTACACCAAGTTCAGTCAATGTAACACCATTTGTTGGCAGGTTAGCAAGGTGACAGTGTGAATGAGGGAATGCGCTGTACTGTTTTATGTGGGTGTTCGTGGGCTTTCCTAGAGCTTGGGAATATGGCAGCCTGGTAGCAATGGGCAAGAAAGTGAATTTCCCTCTGAACACTTTTCAAAGCACAGGCTTCCTTCAGGTTCTAGAATCATCCCCCTCAGTACCCATGAGTTGCCTAAAGAAGACTAAGCGAAGGACAGCCGAGTCTTCTTTAAGCTTCATTGCATTTCATTTTTACCTTCTTTGGGCCAAAAGCCATCACTTTCATTATTATATTTCCTCTCCTGTCACATCTCCAAGCTTTTCATATGTAATACCATTGGCTCCAGGGTCCTGGAGTGAACACAGTATTCTAATAAATGACTGGCTTATGCTGAGAAGAAACCTAGAATACTACTCAAGAATACAGTCACCCCTATGTTCATTGCAGCATCATTTACAATAGCCAAGATTTGGAAGCAGCCCAAACATCTACCAATAGATAAGTGGATATAAAAACTGTGGTAACTTACACAATGGAATACTACTGGGCCATAAAAAGAAGGAAATCTTGCCCCTTGCAGCAGCACAAATGGACCTGGAGAGCATTTTGCTAATCAGAGAAAGACAAATACCATATGATTTCACTCATGTGGAATCTAATGAACAGAATGAACTAACAAGCAAAATAGAGACAGACTCAGAGAGCAGGCTCACAGCTGTCAGAGGGGCACAGAGTTGGGGGCTGGGTTGGGTTGGAGAGAGTGAGTGAAAAAGAAAAAAAAGAGGAGGAAAAAAATCATGGACATGGACAATTGTGTGGTGATTGCCAGGGGCAGGAGGGGTAGGGGAAGGCGGAGGAGAGTGTAGAAGGGAAAAGTGGTGATGGAAGGAGACTTGACTTGGGGTGGTGAACACACAATACAATATACATATTATATATTATAGAACTGTACGCCTGAAACCTATATAATTTTATTAACCAATGTCACCCAAATAAATTCGATAAAATAGAAAAAAATAGTTTGTGTGATTTAGGTTGACAGTAAACTGTCCCTTGACACTTTTTCCTAACCAATAAATCTAATTTGTTATAAAAAGTGAAAGATCATATCATACACAGGGTCCAGCATAAATAACACCCCGTTTATATTACAAAATCATAAGCATGTAATTCTGTAACATAACAATATCACATTCAAGCATGCCATATGACATTTAGGTGAAATGTTCAAATTAAAACTTTAAATTATTATACCCATATTATTACCCTACCTACCACACTCAAGCAGGCATTACTTCTGCCAGACCCTGTATATGAGGTCTGTCGAGAAAGTATCCAGCTACATGATATGAAAAATAGAGACATTTATTGAAGACACAAGATAGAAGAAACATTGCACATAGAACAATGGCGCCTCAGTCCCCTTCAAAGAAGGCACCTTGGGACCTCACACAGTTCTCCCAGCATCTCGTCCACTGTTCAAAACACTCTGCAAAATCCTTTGTTGGAATCACCATCAGCTGCCCCACCATATTTTCCTGAATCTCATCGATGATCTGAAATCTCTTCTCTTTCAAAGGTGATTTTAGTTTTAGGAAAAGCCAGAGGTTACAAGGGCGCCAAATCTGGGCCTTAGTGGGGCTTAGTCACCTGGGTGATTGGATGTTTTGGCAAAAAAGTCCGCACAAGATGTGATGCATGAGCGAGCATGTTGTTGTGACGAAGCTGCCAATCACCGGTTGCCCATTGCTGTGGCTGTTTTCATCTTGTTGCATCTCTCAACTGACAAAGAACATTGAGGTAGTTCTCCTTTTTAATTGTTTGGCTTTGAGGGGTGTACTTGTCATGGACAACAGCTTCTCAATAAAAAAACAGTTAGCATGGTTATGATCTTGCTGCAACCTTACTGCGTCACCTTTGGGCATGGAGAACCAGGTATCTTCCATTGGGATGAGTGGTCCTTTGTTTCTGGATCATAGCGATAGACCCACAATTCATCTTCAGTTATGACCATCTTGAGGAAATCTGGTTCATTCGTAGCGGTTTGAATGAAGTCAATAGCAACTGCGACACAGTGTTCCTTCTGCTCTGGTGGCAGAAGCTATGGAGTGAATTTTGCCATGGCACATTTCATGCCAAGATCCTGGGTCAAAATCTCAGACACCATGGATTTTGGAATCTCCGGATCAACTTCTAGTTCTCTCACTGGCAGATACTGATCTTTGTTGATTGCAGTCCATACACATTCAGCATTCTCAGGTGTTCTTGTTGCAGGCCTTCCAGATCATGGATCCCTTTCAACAGATTCTTGACCATATTTGAAGTGTTTGTTACACTTTTATTTGTGCTACACTCATTGCATTGTCCCCAAAAACCTGAATCGTCTGACTAGTTTCCGCAGAAGAACATTCAAGCTTAATGCAAAATTTGATACAGATTTGTTGCTTTACTCATTCAATCATTTTTAATGTGATGGCTACACAGTATGCATGCTCACTCAATGGCATCTACCGCCCCTACTGACTAGCACAGTGAAGTTTTCTTGTTCACACATGTGCATTCCAGTCTATTCTCCTTAGCTGCCAGGTTCCATCCATGTTGCGCAAACCATTCTTGCTATTAACAATGGCTGGAGTTCTTCCGGACAGACTTCTCTCCTTCATGTATCCAATTAGTATGCTCACTTTTAAGGACAATACCACTTTTCTCATTTGTTCCACTTTTACTTTGCAGCATATTTTCTCTTTCTGAATGAACTATTCTGTATTTGTTCCTAAGGAATCTCACCCAATTCCTTTTGTCTCACTTTTCTTAACTAGTCACAACATTTAAAATCTGCCTCTTCAAAATGTTAGTCACCCAAACAGTTTGGTGACATTGGCATGTTCCAGAAGTGTAATTAATTGTGTATCTTTTTTCCAAATAATTAATAAAATGTTAAAAACTAAGGACCAACTTTTGTGCAACTCCATGCTAGATGCGTTTATTCTAATACCATAACAACGATCACTTTTTAGGGACTACCTGCTTCTCAGTAGTGCGTATACCAGGGTGATTACACAGTGAAGATGTAACATGAAACTAAGTAACAAAGCTGTAAGTTAAATGAAGACCTAATAAAGTGGTAAAGTTAGATAATAAAAGACAATATTAGGGTTCCATATAGAGATCAAAGACCTAGAGCCAGACACGTTCCTATATTTTATTTAAGTCCTCTGACACTTTAGAAAATGTTCACTTAAAACATCTTAGTATGTGATAACACTTGTATGATGGTATCTGACTTCTTTTTCAAAGCTTCTAAAGATTTAAAAGTGAATTTATGTCTTAATTGAGCTAAATTATTTTGGAGTCTTAGTTACTTTTATTCTTCTCATTTGCATAATAGGGACTATATAGTCTCTGGTTCATAGGGTTGTTTTAAAACTTCAAGGAGATAACCTGTGTAAAATGTTTAGCACAGCAGGCAGCACATGACAAGCACTAAATAAATAGTTGTTGTTACTGTTAACATTATTAATGCTAAAGCAGCTATCAGTTTTGAGCATCTGACGGGCGAGATGCTATAGGTCAGTTGTGTTGTGGTTCCGATGGTAATTTAACTTATTTGTTTAGCACTAAACTAAAGCTGAAGCCTCCGTGAAATGATTTGTTTCTGAAGACTGCTTCTGATTTCAGTTTGGGACGTACCCTGGAACCTGAGGAAGTGGTAAACAAGCTGATGAAGGGAATCCTGACTGACCAAAAAATGATTTTTATTCCATCTGCTATAAGCTTTTTAACAGTGGCAGAAAGGTAAGCAACAGATAAGTTTGCCAGCATTATAAATATTCATCTATTACATGTTTTTACTAAGATTTAAGATCAAATTTTTGTAAAGTACTACTAAATGGAATTAAGTTAATAAAAATAATAGGCTTCAGCAATCCATCAATTTTTAAACTACATTTGTTAGTGATTGAAGCGAGATTGGTGTCACATGTTGGGTAAATGAACTGAATCATTGCCACAAGTTTGTTGGGTTTTTTTTTTTTAAGAAAGAAATTGGTATATTTTGGAAGTCTTGTCTTACAAATGAATGAATATAAAGAAGGACAGTTTTTAAACATTAGTACGTAGTGGAATTGTAGGATAATCATATTAGAGGAGACCATAGTTAAGTTTTATATATTCATTTAAATGTACAACAGATAATCATTGAGCTCTTATTTTGTGTAAAATCATTCTGAAGCATAGAGATAACTTTAGAGACCCTCAGCCTCGCTATTTCAGGTGTGGTTCACGGGCCAGCAGCATCAACACCACCTGGGAGTTTGTTAGAAATACAGAATCTCCTGTCCTCCTGAATCAGAATTTGTATTTTAATAAGATCCACAGGTAATTTGTGTGCATATTTAGATTTAGAATAATTTCTTTAGGTAGCTCTTGATTTGGGTGCACACTGGAATTCACCTGGGAGTTTTAAAACTGCTATTATCCCAGACCCATTCCCCAGGATTCTGATTTAATTGGTTTGGAGTGTGGCCTGGTCACGCAACAACTTTCCTGGTGATTCTAATGTACAGCCAAGATTGGAAACCACTGGTTTAAAGAATGCCTCGTCATAACACACTGTCTCATCACTCATCTGGGGAGCTTTGGGGTCATGAGGCTGGCCAGGTATTGACGGGAAACTGAAGAGGTTCCTTAGGTTTAAAAAAAAAAAAAAGCAGCAGCAGCAGCCTCTTCCTGTTCCTAGAGTCAGACTTCTCCAACATGGTGGGGTTTCAGGATCATGGGGGAAGTTGATTTAAAAAATAGATTCCTGGATCTCATCTCTTGACATTTTAATACAGGATGTTTGAGTTGAAACCCAGAAATCTGAATTTTAACAAACAATTGCCACAGGCAGTTGGATCTAAGATAATACTTTGCGAACTACTGACCCAGAAACTGAAAAAAAAATTTAAAAGATCAAAACATGAGGGCATGTGTCAGGGTCTTTTTTAGCCCCTTCTGCTAGGAACTATAGTTGAACATACTTTAAGTTTAGGTAGTAAAGCCCAAGGATCTCCTTGGTGCTTAAATGAGTTAAAGCCTTTAAAGTGTGTAGCATTTTACTTGTCACATCACCTAACTAAACACTCACTGATTACAGTCCCTTAGAGTTTAACTCCATGAGGGAAGGAATTTTGCCTGTTTTCATCACTATATCCCCTGCACTTTGAAGAATTGATAGACACATTCAAGGCACCAAAATGTTTGCTGATTGAATAAATTAATTCTGTTTCCTAGACATTTAACATAGAGGCTAAATGTTTGTGCTGTGGGGTTAGGTAAAGTCGTGTTTGTGTGACTTTGCAATGTGAACATGGATGAGTTATTTAATTTCTTTGAAGTTCAGTTTCTTCATCTGTCACATGGAGACAACAATAAGACTTTTAGGGCTGTGAGGATTAAATAAAATAATGCATTCAAAGTATTTAATACATTATAAATACTCGATAAATGTTGTATACCACTATTTTATAATTACAGCTTTTATTATTATTGCCCTGATTTTCTTCTGACTATGAATGTTCAGTGCTCAATTTCCAAACTTAATTTTAATGCCATCTAGGCAGATGTCTGTATACAGTAACACTGACTTATGTATTCTGTTTAGTTTCAGACTCATTGGAATGTGACAAGTTCCTTCGTATTCTTAAGTGTAGGGTGGGGAGAAAAAAAATTAGACCTACTAGATGCCTATCACTTTTTAAGGCATTTTATATTAACACTGATTCTTCAAATAGCACTGTGGGGTAGGTGTTAATTTTTCACGTACATATGAGGAATTTAAACTCAAAAGTTAAATAAGTTGTTCGGCATTATGCTCAAAACTAAGTGTATCGTCTGCATTTCCATTGAGCGATTCCGCTTCCCTAGTCTCTAAGTGGAACATTTTAATAATATACTGGATTATAAAGTATAAAATTAGTTCCTATTCTCACTTCCTTTCCAATTTCGGCTTTTGGATTTTTTTTTTAAAAAGCCTTTAACATCTCAGCCATTCAGTTCTATACACATCTTCTCATAGATCTTTTGAAAAATAGAGTATGTAAACTTAAAAACTAAATATTTCAAGTCATTTCTACCCTAACAAATTAAACCTTCCTTTTCCTTTTGAAACCAAAATGGATTTAATTGGAAAGAGCATGTAGTAGTGACTATGTGTTAAAATTCTTAATCTTGTGTAAAATGAATATGGACATGATACATGGTAAACATAAGTATTTTAAGAGAAGACATCTTCAAATGCACTTAATATTAATTTTCTAATTATGTTCATGTGTCTTTCTTTTAGGATCTTTCCTGAAAATTTCATGGCAGTTTTAAAACGAAAGATGAATATTAAGTTTGATGCAGTCGTTGGATATAAAAACAAAGGACAGTAGCTCTGGCCGGGTGCGCAGTTGACAAGAGCATTGCTGGTTCGATCCCTGGTCAGGGCACATGCAAGAATCGACCAATGCATGCATCAGTGGGTGGAACAGCAATATATATGTTTCTCTCTCTCTCTTCCTCTCTCCCCCTCTTCCCTCCTTTCTCTTTCTCCAAGTTTAATAAATTTTTTAAAAATTTTTAAGGTAAAGAACAATAGGTTCTCATTGGTTTTATAAATTGGTTTATCAGTTTTAAGTTGATTTCATCTTATATTAATCAGAATTTTAATGTTTAGACTCCTGCTTTTTCTAATTACCTTTTTTTCTTCACTATCATCTTTTGAGGCTCTTGCAATCCTCATCTATTGCTACTGGTTTTTAAGCTGAAAGCTAATTTCATATAATACAAAGACAAATATCCTAGCAATTGCCTTACGGGAAATAGAAAAAAAGAATAAAAGCAGTTTTATAGTAATTTCTAAGATTTCATGGCTCATCTGAAGGCTTTGCAAAATTTGTACTATAAATTATTAAGATATATTTTTGTTTTCAATTACATTTATATTTTATATAATTCACATGTTTCCTAATTTCACATGGTATAAGAAATGTCATTCAAACATTTTGTCTTGCACATTTACCACTGTTTCCTGAAACATACCTTGCATTTCAGTGTAAAATATTTCAGCGCAAGGAAACTGGAGTGGACACATGTTGCAAGTAAAAATGCAAGATTGGAATTTAAGGCAGAGAATTGGGAGAATGTGCTAAGGAGCAACAATAATAAATGGATCAAACTTAAACTTGTAATGTTTCCACCTTTTTGTTTTGGACAGAACATGGCTTAACCTTCAAATAAAGGAAAGTGGATTATGTACTCAAAGGTCTTTATTTTTTTTAATTTTTTTAGTGTCTGGAAATTTCTTAGATGTGAGACTCAATGAGATGGTAATAGAAGTTCAGGTATATAAATTGAAAATCTAAGTAGGTGTATTGGATTTCTATTAAAGAAAAATATTTTCAAGACTATGTGAGACACATGAAGAACATACATATGAAGTAAAGAACTCTGGTCTTTATATGACAAAGTTCATTCTAAAAAAAAAAAAATCAGAGTCACTGGCCCTTGTAAAATGTAACAAATGAGCCACATTTAGGTACAGACACTTCATGGTAAAAGATTTTAATCCATTTCATAAGCAGGAAATTATATTTATTCAACATGTGTTAGGTGCTATTCTAAACACTTACTGAACAAGTTAAGTAATCTCATAATGCCACTGCAAGTTTAAGGAAGGTTATGCTATAGGTTCTATTACCATATAAGCAAAGTTCAGAAGGTATTATTCCTACAATAAATTTCCTCTTTTTCATCAACTATTGGATTGGCCAAAAAGTCTTATGATTTTTTCTGTAAAATAAAAGACATGTTTTTCATTTTCACCAATAACGTTACTGATTTGGATATTTTGAGTATGTTGGCTATCTCTCGTGTGGTATAACATTGATTGTTTTCAATTAATGTCTCGATTTGATCGCTATCAACTTCAACTGGTCTACCTGACCATGGAACATCGTTCAGTGAGAAATCTCCAGCAGGGAACTTCACAAACCACTTTTGACATGTTCGATCAGTTACAGCACCCTCTGCAGACGCTGCACAAATCTATTTTTTTTTTTTTTTTTTTGCGTTTTGGTTGTGTTTTTACCTTTCTTGAAATAATAAAGCATAATATGCCAAAAATGTTGCATATTTTCTTCTATCTTCAATATTAAAATGGCTACACAAAAATTCACCAATTTTTGATGGGGGTTTTTTTCAGTGCATGCTGATATGATGACTGTCACAATACTATCTAACAAAATTGTTTTGAATGAAGTTAAAGACAACTAAGCACTACTGGGGCCATTTTATGGAAAAAAAAAACTTTTTGGCCAACCCAATACTTCTAATACAGAGAACAAAAATACAATTACCGTTGGACTATATTTAACAGTTAGCTGATATAAAGACACATCTCAGTGAAAGTGCCTGCTTTCCAAATCATTATATTTGAATACTGTAACTTCAGTTCCTCTCCATACATTAGCCATACTATAGTAACACTCTACTAGAGTATCTACGAGAAACACACTAGAAGTCTGTACCGTTTCTAGCTCATTGTGAAATAGATGTAATGGATTATTCTTTTAATTAAGTTGTGCCTGTTAGAGCTTGCTAAGTGGAACAGTGAGGATAAAGGTGAGGAGAAAGCTGATAATGAAAGTTCAGTAAGATAACCGAGGTTCAACACTTGGTTCAGCATTTGGATGACCTTTGGCCTTAACCATTATGGTTAAGTACAACTTGGGTAGTATGCTGACAGGATGGTTATCAGTTCTTTTTATTCAATGTTAACCACATGCTAAACACAGTTTGCCATTTAACCCCCCAGCTATCCTGTGTAGCAGGCATTGTTGAAGGACTTGAAATGGCTGTGAAGACAACTGTAGTAAGCAGAAACCCAGAGGAGCCTTAGAGGCTGGAGCCCTGCTCTTCTGGAAGGTGAATGATGGAATAAATACTCTAGAGGTTCTAAATTTAGCTGTTCGCTTTTTTTAAAAAAATGTTTTACTGTTCAATTCCAGCTGTCCCCTTTTTTCCCCCATTACTCTCCCTTGCCCTACCCCCGCCACCTCCCACATTCAATCCTCCCCACAGCCCCGCTCCCCCCACCCCACTGTTGTCTTTGTCCTTGGGTCCTTAATACATCTTCCTTGACCCCTCCCCTTCTTTCCTCCATATACCTCCTCCCCCCTCCCCTCTGATTACTGTGAGTTTGTTCTTTATTTCCATATCCCTGGTTCTATTTTGCTCACTTGTTTATTTTGTTGATTAGGTTCCACTTATAGGTGAGATCATACGGTATTTGTCTTTCACTGACTGGCTTATTTCACTTAGCATAATGCTCTCCAGTACCACCATGATGTTCCAAAAAGCAGGAGTTCCTTCTTTCTTTCTGCTGCGTAGCATTCCGTTCTGTAAATGTACCAGTTTTTTGATCCACTAATTTGTTGATGGACATTTAGGCGGTTTCTAGCACTTGGCTATTGTGAATAGTGCTGTATGAACATAGAGGTGCCTAAGTTCTTTAAATCGGTGTTTTTGGATTCTTAGTGTATATTCCCGGCTGTGGAATTGCTGTCAAAAGGCACTTCCATTTTTAGTTTTTTGAGGAAATTCCATACTGTCTCCCACAGTGACTACACCCGTCTGCATTCCTGCCAACAGTGCACTAGGGTTCTCTTTTCTCCACAACCTGGCCAGCACTCATTGTTCGTTGATTTGTCTATGATGGCCATTCTGACTGGTGTGAAGTGGTATCTCATTGTGGTTTTAATTTGCATTTCTCTGATGGCTAGTGATGCTGAGCATCCTTTCATGTGTCTCTGGGACCTGTGTATGTCCTCCTTGAAGGAGTGTTTGTTAGGTCCTTTGCCCATTTAATTGGATTGGTTGTCTTCCTGGAGTGGAGTCATGTGAGTTCTTTATATACTTTGGCAACCAAACCCTTGTCTGATGTATCATCGGCAAATATATTTTCCCATACGGCTGGTTCCCTTTTCATTTTGCTGAATTTTTCTTTAGCCGTCAGAAGCTTTTTAATTTGATGTAGTTCCATTTGTTTATTCTTTCCTTTATGTTCTTTGTTCTAGGGGATATATCAGTGAAAATATTTCTGCATGGAATATCTGAAATTTTCCTGCTATGTTCTCCTCTAGGACTTTTAAGGTGTCGTGACTTACAGTTTTGTCCACTTTAAAAACAAACTTGCTTCAATTCACCAACATTAGCAATTACTGTTGTGATTCCACATTTGAAGACTTTTAGTTGTCATTTGAATAAAGTTCATCTTAACTCTGAACCCACTTCTCAACAGGTTAGTGAAAAAAATCCATCACAGCCATCAATAGGGCTACTTCTGAGGGTCACAGCAAAATCAGAGGCTTACGTTGTCTTGCAGTAAATGGGGAAGATTCCTCACATCAGCTATCATCGTACTCTGTGGTCCTAAACTAGGACCTTAACGACAGATGGTTCGCTCTATTGTGGGTACAAAAATCCTGATGCCAAGAAACTGGCCCTGCGATGACACACTATAAAGCATCCCTCTGAGCTTTTGCTCTCACCCTGGAGCTCTGCCACAGGACTGCCAGGCTCACTGACATCTCTTCTACTCCCTTTGAGAATGTTTCCATGCTTGCCTTAGAAACACTGTTCCCTGCCTCTCCCATGCCACCATTCTCACTTGCCAAAAATCTACTCTTTTTAACGGAAACAAGAACTAAAAAGAGTGGGCAACCAGGCTGAGGAAAACGGTTAAAACTGACCTTCAATGCATCTTCAACACCAGCTTGGCTAGTGAACAAATGGCTAATAAGGATTTTACTGTGGCGAAGGGAAGTAATTATCAACAACCTCCTCTCCCAGGCTGGCTAACAGATTTACTCCCTTGGACAGTTCCAAAAAAGTTCCAATATACTTACCTAAAATCACACAGCTACTTGGAGATCAAGCTGAGTATTTGAACCCAAATTTGCTGACCTCGCTCTCATACATACAGCCTCTGTGGAATTCTTGGGGAAGGGAACCATTACCCTAAATACCTTCTACTTCCATTTACCACAGCTTTCCTTGGTGTTCAAGCAATATTCCAAAATCAGCTAATGATGGCAATTAAAGCTATTTCACCTAAGAATTATTTTAAGGTGAAAAAAAAAAATGCTACAATGCAGATGCTCAACTATTTCACTTGAAAAAAGTTCAGCCTGGTTTGGCCCAGTATCACCATAGTTTAATTTCCTGATACTAAAATTCTGAACCTGAAAATGTTGGGATAGTCTCAATCTACTGGACATCACATCCTTCCCTCAAATAGATAAGAATTCCCACTTGACCTATTGTCTATCTAACCACTCAAGTTTCTTTTTCTTTCTTTCTTTTTTGTCTAGGGATGCCTGGTCAACCTCAGAATTAGGGAGATGGGCCTTTTATTTTTACAGTCTTCTGTATAGCTACCAGTACCCCAGTACTGCAAAAAGAACTCTGGGCAATCCAAGCAATCCAATTCAGGCTAGCTGTTCTAGAACCTCAGTTTTCTCATCTATAAAAAAGATCAAATTAGACTATGAAGCTCTAGTTCCAGTTAAATAAATGTCTATATAATCACCACATGCAAAACCAAACATCTCTGTACCCCATCTGTGTTCCCTAACAGAGATTGACAATTCTAACAATGTCCAAGCCAAAAACCCTGGGTTATATCTGCCCCCTGCCTTCCCCTGACCCTCATCCCTCACCTCACCAAAATCTTCTAATTCCCACACACATTTACACATTCAGTATCAGTCACTATTCCCACATTTCTATTTCCAGCCTGAATCTCTCCTCTGCAGACACATATCCAAATGCCTTCTTGATATCTCTGCCTCTATAGCCAACAGGCATTTCAAGGTAATATTGCCAAAATCAAGCTCTTGATGTTATCCCAGACCTGCTCCAAACCCTATTATCCCAGTTGCTCAGGCCAAAATAATTAGTGTCATCCTTGACTCCTGTATCTCACTCCCCACATCCATGGTAAAGACAATTCAGTCTGCCCTACCTAGAAAATATATCCAGAATTCTATCACCCCTTACCACCCCCGCTGTGATCTAAGCCACCATCACCTCTTGTTCCCCTTTGTGCTTTTCCAAACACAACAGCCAAAATGATTCTTTAAAACATGAGATCATGTCATGCGCTTCAGCTCAGAACCCTTCACTGGCTTCTCACATACAACTTTCTTATTTTAATGTGGAATGTTTCATGAATTTGCATTTCATCCTTGCTCAGGGGTCATGCAGATCTTCGCTGTATTGTTCCAACTTTAATATATGTGCTGCTGAAGCAAGCACTCTCTTCTAAAATTTAAAGCTTAAGTCCTTACCATGACCTGCAAGGCCATATGAAATCCAATCTTCTTACCCACTACCTTACTATCCGTATTTGTCACTGTTCTCCAAAGAAACAGAACCAGTAGGAGATTTGATATACATACATACATACATGAGAGGAATTATTGCAAGGAATTGGCTCACATGGTTGTGGGAGGCTAGCAAGTATGAAATGTAAGGGAGGCCAGCAAGCTGGAAATTCTTGGCAGAAGTTGATGCTGCAGTCTTGAGGCAGAATTTCTTCTTACTCTGAGCATCCCAGCCAGTTCCGGCTGCTGTAACAGGATACCAAAACCCGGGTGCCTCGTACACCACAGGAATTTATTCCGTGCAGTTTTAGAAGCTGGAAGTACGAGATCAAGCCACCAACAGATATGGTATCGGTGGATGAAAGACTGTTTCATTCACCTGGTTCACAGCCCAGTCAGCTTGTCCTCTTGCTGTCCTCACGTGACAGAAGGGGCAGGGGATCTCTCTGGCATCTCTTTTATTAGAGCACTTAATTCCATTCATGAGGGCTCCACCTTCATGATCTAATCGACTCTCAAAGGCCCCATCTCCAAACACCAGCACACCGGGGATCGGGTTTCAGCATATGAGCCTCAGAGGGGACAGAAACATTCAGACTACAGCACAGTGAGAGCTCAGCTTTGCTTTCAAGACATTCAGACTGATTGGATGAGGCCCATCCACATAATCAAGAATAATTTCCTTTTATTTAATGAGTGCTGATTACAGCAATGTTAACCGCATCTGTAGTAACACCTGAACTAGTATTTGATTGAAACCGGGAGCATCGCCTAGCCATGGTGGCCCGTAAATCTCACCATCACACCATCTTCACACTCTTTCAGTTCACCCCAGCAACGCTGGCCCCCTTGATGTTCCTCAGGCCACCACACATGTTCCCAACGCGGGAACTGTTTCCTCTCCAGAATGCTCATCCTCCAGATGGTCACAAATCTAGCCCACTCTTTCCTTTAAGTACTTTTCCTTAGGTCTTTTCAGAGTTTTTCACTCTATACCTAAAACTGCACCCATGCTTTCACAGCCATATCTTACAAGATTCCATGTCTTCCTCTGTTCTCTACTATTTTCCTTATCACTTATCACTGTGGAGCATACTATTTATTTTTCTTATTTATCTTCTTTATTGTCTTCATTACTCCTAGAGCATAAGCTTCCCAAGGGAAGAGATCTGTGTTTTTAATTATATTTTATTGATTATGCTATTACAGTTGTCCCAGCTTTTCTCCCTCTGCCCCCTCCACCCAGCCACCGCCACTCCCGCAGGCAGTCCCCCACCATTGTTCATGTTCATAGGTCATGAGTATAAGTCCTTTGGCTACTCCCTTTCTTATACTCTACCTTACATCCCCATGACTATTCTGTAACTACCTATTTGTGCATCTTAATCCCTTCACCTTTTTACCCATTCTCCCCAGACACTCCCTTCCTTCTGGCAACCATCAAAACGTTCTCAATATCTGTGCTTCAGTTTCTGTTCTGCTTGTTTGCTTAGTTTGTTTTTTAGATTCAGTTGTTGAAAAACTTGTATTTATTGCCATTTTGTTCATAGTTTTGATCTTCTTTTTCTTAAATAAGTCCTTTAACTTTTCATATAATAATGTTTGGTGGTGATAGGCTCATTAGCTCTTTCTTGACTGGGAAGCTCTTTATCTGCTCTTTGGTACTAAATGATAGTTTAGCTGGGTAGAGCAATCTTGGTGGTAGGTCCTTGTTTTTCATCACTTTGAATATATCTTGCTAATCCCTTCTAGCCTGCACAGTTTCTTTTGAGAAATCAGCTGACAGACTTATGGGAATTCCCCTGTAGGTAAATAACTGTTTTTCTCTTGCTGCATTTAAGATTCTCTCTTTATCTTTAACCTTTGACATTTTAATTATGATGTGTCTTGGAGTGGGCCTCTTTGCATCCGTCTTGTTTGGGACTCTGTGCTTCCTGGACTTGCATGTCTATTTCCTTCACCAAATTAGGGAAATTCTCTTTCATTATTTCTTCAAATAGGTTTCCAATTTCTTCCTCTTTCTATTCTGGCACCTCTATGATGTGAATGTTGGAATGCTTGAAGTTGTCCCAGAGGCTCCTTACATTATCCTTGGGTTTTGGGGTTGTTTTTTTTTTTAATTCTTTTTTCTTCTTGCTGTTCTGATTGGTTCGTTTTTACTTCCTTATGTTCCAAATAATTGATTTGATTCATCCACTTTACTGTTGATTCCCTATAAATTCTTCTTTATTTCAATTATTGTATCCTTCTTTTCTGCCTGGGTCATTTTTATGCTGTTTAAGTACCACTGAGTTCCTTGACCATCCCTATAACCAGTGTTTTGAACTCTGCATCTCCAATAGGATAGATTGCTTATCTCCATTTGTTTAGTTTTGTTTCTGGAGTTTTGTTCTGTTCTTTCATTCGAGCCTTATTTCTTTGTCTCCTCATTTTGGCAGCCTCCTTATGTTTGCCTTTGTGAATTAGGCAGAGCTGCTTGACTCTCTGTCTTGGTAGTATAGCCCAATGTAGTAAGTGTTCTGTAGGGTCACATGACACAGGCTCCCTTATCACCCACACTGGGTACTCAAGGTGCACCCTCCATGTGAGCTGAGTATACCCTCCTCTTGTAGTTGAGCCTTGATTGCTGTTGGCAGGTTGATGAGAGGGATTTACCTAGTCAACTGCAAGAACTGGCTTTGACCACTGACCACCAAACCTCTGCCCTCTGTGGAGGATTAGCTGTGCCAGGGCCCACTCCACAAAACATGACTTATTTCAGCAAGGCTCTGGTGCCCACTAAATCTGTCCCTTGAGTGTGTTGCTTGTGGAAGTGGTTGGGTGGTGGTCTTCAACATGTGCTGTAACTGTCCACTGTGTTTGCAGGCTGTGGGGTTTCCCAGGAGGTGCAGGCCAAGGTCAACCACTGCCTGTGTTTTATCTGGGGCTACTTGGCATAAGCTACAAAGCGATCTGCAGATGGCTGCTACTTTGTGCTGGGTTGGAGTTATCCACGCATGGCCAGGCTGTGAACCAAGGCCAGGTGCTACTAGTGCTGGACCTGGGGCCACTTACCAAGAGGTACCAGGGCTTGATGAGGCCAAAGGCTGCTTGTTTGTGAGGATTTAGGATGATCTGAAGCATGAGCCAAGACCAGCCATTCCATGGAAAAGCCACTGTTAATAGCTTTGGGGGGCCTGTAAATTTTATGGGATGAAACCTCAGGGAATGACCAGGATGGGGCAAACAATGTGAGCCAGGCTGATGGAGTCACAGATATGATGCCCTTTGCTCTGTGGTTCTATGTGGGGTGGGCTCAGAAAAGGAGCAATGGCCTCTGCCAGCAGTTTCATCTGGGAGAAAGCTGTCCCCCAACTCTTGCCTTGATGCCAGACACTTCAGTTCCTCCCCATGTGCCACTGGTGCCTTTCAAGCTGCTACCCTGTTTCTGGAGCTCAGAGGAAGTGAGTCTGATTAAGTCTGTGCATGGGCCCTTTAAGAGGAACTGCTTGGGAATCTGACTCAATCCCCACTGGTTTTTGAAGCAAGAAGTTATAGGGACTTATCTTCATGGCACTGGAACCCTATGCTGGGGGAGCTGCTGGGGACCTGGGACCCCTCACTCCCTAGATATTCTTCCTCCACCACACATGGGTGTGGGAACAGCCCATTCCACATCTCCACATCTCTACCCTTCCTGCCAGTCTGGATGGATGCAGTTTCTTCTTTAATTCCTTAGTTGTGGACTTTCATTCTGTTCAATTTCTGATGCTTCTCGTGATTTGTTTTTTATGGATTTTGTTGAACAGTTCCTAAAATATACCAACTGTCATATACACACACATACACACACACACACACACAAAACAAATGCTCATTTCTTCTATTATTCTATCTCCTAAATATCTCCTTTACCAAAACCCTCATTCAGGCCATTTAAGAAAATATTTCAGTTTAATAAGAATCTCAATGCTATGGATGGTATTACTTTAGTCAAGAGAATTTTCCCAAAAGCAACTCATTCTAAAATGTAATGTAAAGACAAATTAATGATATACTCAAGGTGCCTTCATTCACACCGGAAGGAAACAGCAGACCCAAAATGAGATCAGAGTAAACTAAACATTTTTTTGTTATAAAAAGTTGCAGAAATAAAGACAATGATGTCATAAAGATGTACAAAAAAAATCTCCGAAACCTAGAAAAAAATTAAGGAGCAGATTTTATGCTTCCAGCATTGTTGAGGCAAGTAGAACCCCATGTTTAAGGAACACGAACATTCTGACCCCGAGATGACGAGAAACAGATAAAAGGTAGAGTTCACCAGGTTATCTCATTGCTGAATGAAATTTGTCAGCACCCAAACTGAGCATAATGTTAACTAAGTAACATTCACTAAATGATTTTCACTTCCTCAAAGTTTCTTAATTCTTGGTTAATTCAAATACCCTAGGAAGTACAAGAATTTATATCTTGCTATAAAATTTTAAATTTCCTTTCAGAAGCCTATCCATAGTAGTATATGAATTTGGATGGCGGGAGTCCTCTGGTCTGGCCCACTCTAAGCAAAATGAATGTTGGGGTTATAGACATTCAAATAGAAAACAGATTCCTCACATTGCAGCCGAACATCAGGTCTGATCTAAATTACATATGTTAATATTTCACTGGCTCCATATAAACATCACTGCAAACCTGAATGAACAATGATATAATCAAGTATTCTGTTTTTATAAATACACTCAGTGTTCAAACTTAAAGAAGCAATTATACTCTCTTCAATGCAATGTGATATAACCTAGGTCAGGGTGTCTCATTCTTGGTACGACTGACATTTATTTGGGGCTGGGTAATTCTTTCAGAAACATCCCTGGTCTTTACCCACTAAATGCCAGTATCATGCCTGAGTTGTGACAACCAAAAATGTGCCCAGACATAGTAAAATGTCCCCTG